TTTAATATAAAAAAAATTGACAAATTATAATTGACAGACCAATTACTATCAAGCTTAATTCAGTAGTATTTTTGGGGTCTCTGATAACCTTTTGACGTACAAATAATGGAATTTAGAATTATTTGTTTATCCAATTAATCAAAAATTTTTCAATTGCAAAAACTTAGAAAATATTAAAAATGGAGATTTTTTATGATAAAATTGATACTACAGGAATTTAAGAATACCTGTGATACGATACTTGCATTATGCTACTGGGAAAAAACTTAGATAGTAAAAAGTAAAAATAAATAAATAAATAATAAATAATAATAAATAAAAATAATAATAATAAATAAATAACAAATTATTTTAATTCTAGATTTAACTTTTAGGGATGTTTTGAGCATTGTAAAGGCAAAAGTTAAACAGGGTGTCTATTATTATTTTTGTTTAACAAACTATCCGGTTTTCCCAGCTTTGTACAAATTTTTCCAGGTGTATCTTTTCTCATCAAATATAAATTTTCTTGATAAGTATTAACAATAAATAAAACTACAAATGACTATAACAATTCACTTATTTTATGAAAATACTCTTCGACGGGTTTTTGTTTTTACTAATACTTTTAACAGGGGTTCTACCAACTGGAAAAAACGGGAAATATGATCAAGCAATTGTCTACCATAAAAGGAAAAAATGGCGCTAATACATGTAATTTCGTTTTCTTGGGGGTGGGGGGTCTACGTAGTTTATAAAGGTTCCCTAAAATTTAATAAAATAAGACCTATAGGTGTTATTTTAGATTTTAGCAATTATGATACAATTAGTTCGAATTTGACTTTACTATAACTCCAAAAACTGGTGGAAATTTTGGATTAACTTATAATACAATTAATTAAATTTCTACAAATAATTGACAAACATTGTTCTCTGCATTTTAATTAATTGAAAATAAATTATTTTATGATAATTGAATGTAGTATTGTAGAAACTAACACCCGTCGAAGACGGGTACGACAGCTAGTTTCAAATAAAAGCAGTGAAGTTATTTTATTACCTGGAGAATGATTAAATATAAATAAATTCCTACAGTATCAATATAAATTCTAGTTTTAGGATTATTTTATTCAAATATTCACTAGATTTAAGTAAGTGACATCGTCACACTAATGATGGAAATTTAACAACGAATCAACCGGCAGTCGAAGATGGCAGACCTGCTTTTGCTGGTCATGCGATCGACATCCAACGACTTCGGTAATTTCAATAAACTTGATAAACACAAACTTTGGATATAACTTTACTGCAGGCGAGAAGTAAAGATCTGGACATTGTCCTCTCATCTTCAGAGAACCTGAGAGTAATCCATGCCTGCACCAAACAAATCCAAAAATAATCCTATTGTTGATCAGAAATTAGATTTTTCATGATTGAACGATGTTTTGATTTTGTTTCTACATGAATTCTTTCCATACGAATTTACAAGACGATGTACTAGGATCAGTTTCAAAATGCATACTCTCTGCATTAATGAAACTGTTTTCCTTTTCAGATTAATTTCTCCGCTATTTTGATGATTCAATAACCTTGCCATGTTTTGTGTCGGACTTGTTTTTCTGATGCACGAGCTGATATTTTCTTCGATAATTTTTTGTCTTTAAGAGCTATTCAGCCCTTTTTAATTTCCGGCCTTTTGATATCCTTTGCTTCAGAAATATTTTCATTCAAATCTTTCTACAATTGTAGAAAACAAAACATATTTTATTAGAATTTTCGTTTTATTATCAGATTGCAGTTTGCAGTAACAATTAAGATGCACATAAAGGGTAACCAACCTTTCTATATCATATCCATGAAAAGAAACATTTTCGTCTAAATAAATATCCATAAAGATAGTTATAAATTTTTCCACCACTCCTGATATTTTTTAAATATTTCAAATTGCTCTTTAACCTCAAGTTAACACATGTACGCACTGGTAAACCTCGATAGAAAATATTTGTGGTTTTTGAAAAAAATATTTCATACTGAGCGTAAATAACAGATTCGATGAATTATTTCTTTATCAAAAGTTTGTATAAAAGACTATTAGTGCCTTTTGAAATAAAAAGTTTTTCACATAACTGAATATAGGATGCAGCTTTTTATTTCAAAAATGAAGAATTTAATAAAAGATTGAAAAAGATGAGTATTTTTTTAAAGTGAATAAAAAATACAGTTGACTTGTGTGTGGTTGATTTGAATTATTTGGATTGAGTGAAATGGAAGAGAATCAAAGTGACAGATGGACAGACATACAGAATCGGTTACGTTTTGGTTGGACTGCTATCATCGAAATGGAAAATAGTTAAAGAGGTTCAAAAAGATCAGAAGTTGTGTTCAATTTGAAATTCGAATAATTCTCCAAATATTATCCATCTATTTTATCTGTAATTAAAGTATTAAAATTAGAATTTATATTAAAATTATTTATATTTATATCGAAAAGAAAATAATATCGTATTTAATGATCATTGACCAGATTCTGTGTGGACTAATAGCCATCCAAATACACAAGCATCACAACTAATGATACGGATTAGAATCTTCACTTTAAAGTCTCAATAGCTTAGAAATTCACCTGAAGAGGTTACGATTAATGTCTCCCACCCCACGGAATGAAGTTGTTACAGATTTTCAGTTCTTAATGTCCGTTTGGACTACCAGCGCTATCTGAATAAAAAACGTCGAAGCTAACGACTCCAGAATTTTCAAGATTTTTGGTTTATATAAGTCTATTCCCATTGCACGACTAGCTGTTACAATTATTTCCTAAAAGATGCCATTTCCATTTAATTTTAACTGCTAATTCTATTTCTATTCTATTCAACAACACTGCTGTTGAATTTTTAAACAAGATTTTCCGTTTTTTAATGTTTATTCTAACTTGATTGATAATTTCCCTTTCATCATTATACTTTAAAAGTTATAAATTCAGCGTTTTATCAGATTTTTAAATTAATTTTTTAGTCACCATATAACTGTAAATAATAATTGTTAAAGTCTGAAACAAAGAGGGAAAGATAAATTGCATGTGGCTTATTTATAATGTTTGATGTAAGAAGTCATGAAATCCAGCTGAATACAGTCTTGAAAATTGTTCTTCTCAACTGAAATTACCTGACACCAGTTGCTATGAGTTGATTCAGGTCAGACTCAAGCTCGAGTTACAGTTTGCAGAGTTACTCTAACAGTATATACCAACTCCTCAGCGAATTGTACAAGCGTAATATTGCTACAGACGTTTACATGGTATAGTCTTTATAAGTTAAATGAGAGGACTGGGTTTATTACTCTTAATACTAGTTAATAGCAATTTCAAAATAAAAAATACAAAAATAATTCTTGTAATTAGTTTCGACGAAAATAAAATATAGTAAGAAGTAAAAGTAAAAGACCGTAAATATAATAAGAACTCGTAAATAAATTAAGACGTTTGTATACGGAGAAACTTTTAATACCACTAATTCTTAAAACTGGTGAGACATTTTAGTATGCTAGGTTAGATTCAAGGGAAAAACGACATAGGTTATAGAAATTGCTATTGAGACTATCAAAAACACTCATTCAGTATATATTTTACAGTTCTTCATAAGGAAACTAACGAAAATTAGTATGTTGTTTTAGAAAGAAAATAATAATTTTTGCAAAGTTGGGAAAGCCATGAATTAAAAAGAAACACAACAAATTAATTGTCTATAGATACTCATAGAGACGATAGTGATACTTGGATCTGATGGTAGATGGCATTAGTGTATGTCACTGTAACTGTAGGTAAATATATTTAACACGACGTAAGAACCTAACCTATATTATTAACGCACACACGCACACGCAAGTAAAGACACGACGATTGGTCACAGAAACCGAAAGATCGCACGATTCGTTAGAAGTACACAGCTGAATCGTCCTTATATATTAAACGAGTGGAAAAATATGTGCCTTCGAGAGAGAGCATTTTTTAAAATAACTTACTAATCAAATTATGTAAATAAGTAAAAGTCGTGAAAAAAATTATGTTATATTGAGGAACAGTTCTTAAATTTAATTTGGCATGAGGAGACATTCACGTTTATTAATAAAAGGTTTTTTTCTTTCATACACGTGTGAATTTCAACTTCGAAACATTAAGGTTAGTTCGCGACGTCAGGTGATGGACTCGGTGATGCTCGGGCGAAATCGGTTAAGTCCGCCCGCAGTCCTTCCAAAATTGGTATGTTACGTTAGAATGTCTGTTATATATTCTATCTATATGTGGAAAAAAGGTTAGAATTACCGTATTATTTCACAAACAAAAACTAGCATTTTATTCTTTTCTAAAGAAAAATAAGACTATTTCTAATGCAGATAGTAATTTTTGTACACCGAAGGTTGCTTAATATATAACGAACTTATCATATTTTCGTATTAATGTTGAAATTATTAGCACAACGCACGAAAAATCCTCACATTCTAACGTACTTTTAGAATAAAGATAACCAAATATATTCAATATTAGAAGAAAAAGTTTCTCCGTGTAGATAAGAAAACGATTAGTCAATTTTTTTAAATTAGTTTGTATCATAAAAACGAGGGGTCGACAAGAGAAATACAAAGTTGCCTATACTGATTCTTCCGGGCCGGAAGGGAAATGCAATTTGGAGTGACGTAAATCTTGATGCAGGGGGAGATGTAACTAATTGTGTATATATTCAACATAGGAGACAACAATTCCTATCGAGTATAAATGACACAAGCAATTTCAATTCCGGTACATAAAAATTATGAAATAAATTCAATGACGTCATTCTTTGCATGAGTAAACGCGACCCTAACATCTTCCCCCAAAGAGAAAAAAACTATTCCCATGAAGAAATTTACGACTTTGGCGCCCCAGTCGATTTCTGATGATACGAAGATATGGCTGGATTAATCGATTCTGATTAAATTAGAACAATTTCGATTGATGTTACATTAACAGTTTCTTGCATTAATTACAGTTCCACCCGATATTCTGGATTTTCAAACTAGCACCGACATGGTTGTACGTGAAGGTAGTAACGTGACCTTAAGATGTGCAGCTGCTGGGTCACCAACACCGAACATCACCTGGAGAAGAGAAGATGGTCAGACAATTTTATTAGGAAATGGAAGAAAAGGTTGAGTACTTTTTATTTTTTTTCAAACTCTAGAAAGAGAATATTAAATAATAATCACTTTTCTGTATGAGATAATTCGCATAATATTATTAATTGTGATTCTCTTTGAGGCACACAGCAAAAATGACTACAGAAATAATCTTCTTAAACGTTTACACTGTTTGCAAAATTTACCGTGAGTTAATAAACAAATAATTTAATCATTAACATCTGTTAATTGCAGCACAAAGCGTAGAGGGTCCTCTTTTTGAAATCACAAAAGTAAATCGACTGCACATGGGGTCGTATTTGTGCATCGCATCGAACGGAGTACCACCCTCTGTGAGCAAAAGGATTACGTTGGTTGTACATTGTACGTATAATCTCAAAGATCATTCTATCCCTTAAATAATTCAATACATTTCAATTGAAAATTTTAATGCTCACAAAATGGAAGATTAACTTTTACTTTTGATACTGTCAATTTTAATAATAGTAGGAGTAAACAATTCCTGTTTTGAAAAAGAGAAATTATCCTTTTTAAAACGGATTAAATCGATTTATTTTTTTCTTTTAAATAGATTTTTTTAAGATTAATTACATTGAAAATATTTATACTAAAGAATATTAATTAAAGAATAATATTTAGTTCCGCCTATGATATGGATTCAAAATCAATTGGTCGGTGCACGAGAAGGTCAACAAATAACTTTGGAGTGCCACTCAGAAGCTTATCCAAAGTCTATTAACTATTGGACAATGGAGAAGGATGAGATTGTTCCACAAAGTTAGTATTCTCTATTGTCAATTTAAAAAAATTAAGAAAAGAAAAGATTGGAAATATTTTATACAAACTGTGACTTTTTTTTATTTGCTATAGTTTATTCGGATGAGATTAAATCTTGAATAATGCATGTGAATGCACGTCGTGCTGACAGTGGGAAAGTAACATGATTTTATCTGACGCTTATGAAAAAGGGCTTCTATTGGACAAAAGAGACGAAATTCGAGTTAGTGTATACATATACACTAGACAGGAGAGGATAGGGAAACTTTAGGGGTGTTCCTCTCCCTGTCATCGGGGCTTATTATGTCATGTAGCCTACATTTGCATATGTATTAAGACCAATAACATGCAGTACAATTGGACCTATAGGGTCTAACTATTCCACCACGTGCTTATGTATCAATATGACTAAATTTGTGTGCCCACTCACTACCCCTACAAAACCTTTATATATTCTCCTCGCCATATACGCATATTATGCCTAATAATAACTTTCATTGCAACTATTATTCCAAGACGATTATTATCATCTATCATCATTATAATAATACTACCTATCTTATTAATTTGGAGAAACGACAATTTTCAAAATTCTAAAACTAACTATCAATTGTTTGCTAATTCCGAATCTAAAGTCGAAATTTAAAAATTCAAAATGGCGGATACAATATGACTGATGAAGAGATTGAAAATTAATTTGATTTGCTTCAAGCTCAAGCTTCAATTTGCTTCAAGTATCAATACTTACGGAATTTAAAGGTCGCTGAATTTGAATCTAAAGTCGAAATTTAAATATTTAATATGGCGGATCCAATATGACGGTATTTACAGATTTCAATGTCGTTTATTCTGAAGTTTAAAATTTCGATTCATAAGATTCGAATTCAACGATTCCAAAACACAAAATTTCAAAAAAAATGAAATTTAAAGAAAAATAATTCAATAGGTACTTAATATAATAATTAGAGGGGAGACTGGGGCTAAATGTTAAATTTTTGCACAAATTATTTTTTTAGACAATAAATCCACTTCGATGCAAATGTGTATTGATCAATATTGTAGGGCAACTTGTCCTCAACAACTTTCAATAAAAAAGTTTCTGATTATTTTCGCGTAAAATACATGTTTTATCCTTTTTTGAAAATTTTGTTTTTTTTAACATTTACCCCATGCTGGAGCTAAATGTTAAACGGCTGGGGCTAAATATTCAATTCTATTACTAGCCTACTAAAACTATTTTCTGATAGGTTTTAAGTAATGCATAAGTTAAAGTATGATTTCAGTTAAGGTAATTTAGTCAATGAAACATCTGTGTTTATTTGACAATAGCTAAAACAGTTATAGAGTTAATAAATAAAAATTTCAAAATAAAAAAAAAATTTTTGGTTTATTTCACGTGAGCGGTCTTGTTTTTTGACCGCGTACTTGCCTAATGTCAAATAAATAATTTTTAACCATATAAACCCGAAATACACGAAAAATGTAAAAAACATGGAAAAAATACACTTAACATTTAGCCTATTATTTAACATTTAGCCCCAGGGTGCGTTTTTGGCTTTAACAACAAATATACAAAATCTAACTAAAAATATTTAAGAAATACCTTTAGGTACATCTTCAGGGGACCCAAATAGGCTAAAATACTTTTGGCGATGAGAATATATCCAAAAAATATACTTAAAAGTTGAAATTTTCGTTTACGTAAAAATTTATAAATATAGAGACAAAACACACTTCTTATTATGGACACCACATAAATGAACAGAATGTCACATAACTTCGGACATTTATTTAGAGTGATAACTAGTGATAACACCCTTCTATAATAATCAAAATTGCAATGCTCTTACTACTCTCCAACGCCGGTTTAGCGGATTGTTTGGGGGAGTCGTCCGTTAAAGCGAACAATACCTTAATAATACCTTTAACGAGACAGGACAAAAAAAGTTGTAAATCACAACCCAAAAAGTCCGCTAATCCGGTGTCCACTAAACCGGCGTTGGAGTGTATTTCCGTTCGAAAGATAATGAATTTTAACTGTTTTGACAGTTTGACATTTAGCCCCAGTGTCTCCTACCATCAAATTATTTTTATGTAAAAAAATATTGTCGTTCATTTGAACGTTCAAAATTTTAGGAATATATGAAATGTAATATTTTTTTAAATAATAAATAAATGAATTGTACAAAAAAATGTGATTAAAAAAATCCAGGTGATAGCCATATTGGCTTTCAAATATCCCAGACTGTTATTTTCATGTATAGAAATTTCAAAAATTTAATTTACTATCAAACAAATTGACATTTAATTTTTCACTGGCAATTTAATATAACAAGAAATCAAGGTGCATTGACTTTCAAATTTTTTATTTTTTTTTAGAAAAAGTAATGTGGGTAAAAATAATAATTTTGGAAATTTGTCATTTATACTTTTATTATGTCACTTTGGACTCCCAATCTTGATAATGTTTCATTGATTTATTTCATTTTATTGTATATTTATTTATTTTTGTTAGCTTTTGGAATGAAAAATTCTTAATTCTGGATAATGGTAAGGCAATTAGGGTAATGTCACCTTGAGAGGACCGCCTAAGCTTTTTTCGAAAAAATTCTTTATGAAAGCAAATTAATCGGAGGTTTCTATTCCAAGCTTTAGTTTAGATCCTTAGATAAGTGTTTATACCATAATAGCTTTGATTTTTTTTTATTTGGAAAAAACAATTGACTTTAAAAAAAGCCAATTTTTAAGGATTGAAAAAAGTGTAACCTTGAGTGGACCACTCCTAAAAAATTGTAAAAGTTATTCTAAATTCTTTAATGTATTTAATATTTCTGATATATTGAAACAAAATTTATGCTTATGCAGCTTCAGACCATGTATGTGTCGCAATGTTTACAAGTGAAACCATTTTTAATAATTTTGGCACATATCACATCAATATCACAAAAAAATTAATAAAGAACACAAAACATAGTTTCAAACCAATTTATTGTCAATTTATTTCCATAAAAATGGTAAACTGACATTAAAAATATAAAAAACAGACAGTCCACTCATGGTTATGAACAGTGGTCCACTGATGGTGACATGCAACTTTTTATGGCAGCCACCACAATTTTTTTTAGTCAAAATTATCACTTAATTAAACTAAGACAATCAATTTCAATATCCAAAGTAGTAGGAAAAAAATAAGTTCCCTTTTAAAACTTAAATTTTACACTATACTTTTACACTTCCGAATTACTTTACTCATTGTATTAGAGCGACTTCTTTTTTGGTTTGTGTTCTTAAAAATGCTTTACATCAAACGATAACGTATATATGATTATCGCGGAACTTATTTTCGTACGGTTTCTAGGTGCGGTGGTGCTATTCGCACTATTTATTTCACGTTTCCGCTGGCAGATAACTTAAAAGCTCAGGCGGTCCACTCAAGGTGACATTACCCTACAAGAAGAGTGGAATTTCTGAAATGATTCAATATTAATCAGCAATAAAATCCTAGTTTAATAAGATGCCATAAAAAATTCCAGTAATTATTACATTCACTTTCTTAACGAAAAGAGATAATTATAATTTATTATCTGTTCTGATTTACTTTCACAATTATTCTTTTATTTAATTTTCAGTTTTTCACTCTGACATTTATCTCATTCCTATCGATTCGTACCCGTGTAGAAATTTCCCCATTTGTCCCTGTCTCTAGTAGGGCCCTCGCTAGGTTCTGACTAGAATCTCTAGTCTAAAACTGATCAGGACCTTATTGATTTCCAACTATAGACAAACTAGTGTACAAGTATTATATATAAAAATATAAATTGTTTTTTTAAATAAATAATTCAGATTAATTAATAGAAAAACTGACCAGCATTATTTATTAAAAAATTTTGCATATTATTTGATTATTTAATTTTTTAACATATTTTAAAGAAAATTCCAATATTGTAGACTATTTTTGCAAACAATTCAAATAAAACAATTTTATCATATAAAAATCTTTTATTTAAATAAATAAATTAAAAGAATAAAAACATAAATAAATATTAATTATGTGGGTATAAAAAATTTTTATTACCTACATTGTAATATTATTCGTAAAAATAATTTTTTTAGAACGATATGTATGTGCAATTATACCTTAAAATGTTCTTGATAATTAATAAAGACATTAATTAATAATTAAAATTATGTAATATTATTATAATTCCAATAATAATAAATTCAATAATATAATTATAATAATTATAGTAAATATAAAAATATAAATATTAATGTAATACGTAATATTTAATTATTCAGTAATGTTATAATTAATTATTATTAATTATCATTAACAATGAATAATATCTCCCCAAAATTCATAATGTAATTAAAGCAAAGGACCTTCCAACCTAGCGTGGCTGTGAGGTATGTGTATCTGACTGGAGTCCTCAAGGTCCAAGGTTCGATCCCCCATGGGCACGAGATTTTTAATTCTAGTTCCAGGTTTTTCGTGTACAGCATTCGTTAATAATGTTAATGTCAATGAAGAATTCAATTCTAAATAGGTGAAAAATAATAATTTTTAAAACCGGTTGAAGTAAAATAAAACTTCTAGTCGGGACCCCATCAACACCAGCTTGACAAAAGCGACTACATTGCAAAAACTGGTATCTCACTCGTGTCTTAAAATGAGTTGCTTTAAGTGTTTAAAATATTGAGATACAAAATCTGTTTTATATTGAGACATTTAATTTCATCTCGTGTCTCATTTTAAAACATTAAAGGTGACTCAATGCGTATAAGACACGTAAAACGTCTTCTTAGTGTGAGACGGATACTCAAAACACATTTCGTGTCTCAAAATGCATTGCTAAATGTGTAAGACACTTTGAAACGTCTTAAAATGAGACACATATCTGTTTCAAATATGTGGACTAAAACATCTTATGTGTTTCAAATATGGGACAAAACGTCTCAAAATGAGACACTTGTTTTTGCAGTGCACTGCAAAAACTGGC